AATGCCTTCAACTCTCTCAGAAAGAGAGCCAGGTCCACAGTTGAGGAACGCCAAATGATTCTCATTAAAGTAATGAGCATATTTTCGGTGACATGTGTCCAACCAACTTTAATTTAGTTGGCAGGACTTGTAGCAGCCAGAGAGCCAAAAATAACACACAGCTGGTGCTTCCTGCTCACACACCTCACAGACGTATTTCACACTGTTTCAGAGATGCCCCACCCTAGACAGACATGGGGTGGAAGGTTATATGCAAATTGTTGTGACATTCAACACACATTCCTCATGACACCACTAGCAGGATGAATTTAATACACTAAGTTCCTCTAGCTCCTTCTTTATAAAATTCACTCTAACATGAACACATTTGGTTGATTCCTGCCTCTACCTCATCGGACAAGCTAAAGTTATTAACTTACAAGTACTGCTGCTAAGTATTTAATAATAATGCCCTTTCAGAAAGAGAAACTAAATGTGTGCTGTGTGTACCTATGAAAATATTGTCCTCTACCTTTTGTACAGAATAGGGTCCATTTCCACAGTTCAAGGGCAATAAGTACATGTAGTAACTAAAATGCAAGCTACTGTTGCTCCAATAGACATATTTTCCCATATCTAGAAACTAGTTGAATAAGCTATGCTCTATGCCTTCAAAACATACAGTTCCATTGGAAAGATGGACATGGACTTAAATAAATAAAAGATGGAGGTGAAAATTTTGTGTAAAGATATTAAACCACCATTGGCTTTGGCACTGTTTTAAGTACTTTATACATATCATCTGAATAAACCCTCAAAAACACCCTTTTTATGAATGAAGAAAGTGAGGCACAGAGAAGTTAAGTGACTTGCCCAAGATCACACAGCTTTTTAAGTGGGGAACTGTGATTTGAACCCAGAAAGTTTGCTTTCACTCAGGGTTACAGCTTGACCTGGATACTAGTTGAGTTCCACCAATACTTGCTGCTGGGTGATCTTTGGCAGACTAACTTTTCTGAGTCTAAGTTTCCTCATCTATAAAATAGGAATAACAATTCCTAGCTCACAGATTCATGAGGAGCATTAAACAAGATAATTGCAAAATGCCTGGTACCATGTCTTCAGCATGGCTAGTGTCTACCACCAGTAGAATAGTATGTTAAAACCCTTTTTTCTAAAATGCCACCTTTTGATAACCATCTTTATTTGCCTCACTGACTGGTAAGGCACCATTATCACAGAATACAGCTATAGGGGCTAGGACTGGAGGCTCCAAACCCTCTTTCCTCCACACCCTGCTATGTTAATGAAGTAATAAGATGTCAGTTGGTAAAGATGTGGGAATAACCGCCTTCTGGGTCAGTTCAACATGTGTTGATTTATTGATTGCCTGCCAAGCACTGTACCAGACACTGTGGTACTAAACTACTGAGACACAGCCCTACATCCCATCAAGGAGCTCACATCCCTGTAGGGGAGAAATATACATGAAAAATCAAGTACCCAGCATGCAATCTGGGTACTTGATTTTGTTATACAAAGCTGTGCAGAAGCAGCAGCAGCTAAGTGCCCACACAATGGAACACGAAGCCTATGGTATTCATATTGCGTGCACTGCCCAAGCCATTAGACCACCGGTTCTCAACCTGTGGGTCGCAACCCCTTTGTAACAATGAAAATACATCCTGCATATCAGATATTTATTTACATTACAATTCATAACAGTAGCAAAATTATAGTTATAAGTAGCAACAAAAATAATTTTATGGTCGGGGGTCACCACAACATGAGGAACTGTATTAAAGGGTCACGGCATTAAAAGGCATTGGGAAGGTGGAGTGGAGAACCACTCCATTCAGCCATACTAGGTCCTCCCCAGTCTGTTCCCTGTGAAATTCTCTGATCATCCATCTGCCTCTATATCTTCAGCCTGCAGTTATAACACTGATCCTTTGCCTTTGGTGATTCTCAAATGCTCCGCTTTGATAAGGCTCCCAAGCACAGAGTCTCTGCAAAGTCAAGCCAACCAGCATCTGCAGTGAAGGTAACTGTTCTGGGCACAGCCGACCTAGCACGTTCTCTATCTTGAGCATTACAAGGCTTCCTAGTAGAAACCATGTGCTTAAAGAATTGTCAAGGTAGGCTGGCACCTGTGGCTCAAGAAGTAGGGCACCAGCTTCATATACCAGAGGTGGTGGGTTCAAACCCAGCCCTGGCCAAAAAAAAAAAAAAAAAAAGAAAAAGAAAAGAATTGTCAAGGCGGATTCTTTTTATGGAGGGGGAAACCTAAAGCAGTAGTCAGTCATGCTTCTGAGAAAGACTGAACTAAGATACAACAGCCATACATATATATATATATATATATATTTCTGTTTAGAATGAAAAAGCTGAAGGACCACAGACAAATACTGAGACTCCCTGAGATTACTTCTTAGCCAAAAAGAAAAGGACCCCCCCCAAAAAAAATGTGATTTTCTATTTGTCCTTGAATTTTAGAAGTTAAAAAACTTTCAACAACTTTCAACTGCTCAACCTTCGGTAGTAGTCAACTATCAACACAGTAATGCTGTATAACAAAAAGACCACAAACATCTCAGTGGCATTCAGCAAGAAACACGTGTTTCCCACGGATACGTCTATGGGACAAGCAGAGTGCCTGCTCCATGTGTCACATCCTGGACTCATGATGTCACTGAAGCCACTCTAGGAGTAGTGACTACCCAGGGTTTGCTCTTTTCATGGCACTGGTAGATACACAGGATATCAAGACCAACCAACCAAGTACACAGTTCACATATTCTCCTCACATCCCATCAGCCAAAGCAAGCCAAATGTCAAAACTCAGAAAAGTACCTAGAGACCACTGCAAAGACACGGGTGCATAACATTACTAACCAGGAAGCAGGAATTGTTACTAATAATCTAATCTATCACAGCTTCTACATAATCCTGAACAGTAGGCAATATTGGCCCCATTTTTTGTTGTTGTTGATAATTGAGTAAATGTAGCCCCATGAGTGTAAGTCATTCACCCAAAGTAGGTCCGGTAATATGCTGTTCTAGCAGAACTGGAATTCAAATCTTTCTCCTTCTGGGCCCCTGTGGTTTCTACAGGGATGTAGCTTATAGATACATAACTAGCGTACATCTTTAATATCACATCCCTCGATTATGCTTCCTGGCAGATATCAGTTCTCCCCAACAAAGACCAGACCCAACATTTTCTCATTTGTTAGCATGATGACAGCCTTTAACCTTTGTGGGGGGCCTTCTGCAGTGTTTTTACAAGCTATTTTTTAGCACTACCACACTAATAAATTATTTATGATGGGAAACCTACATCAGAAAACCCTGGCTACTTGAAAATAAACTATTAAAAACACCTCCTTCCCTGCCTGACATGCAGCCTCAGAGGGCACACAAAATCTCTTTGCCTACTGTGAGCATTAAAGATGACAGAGTCAAGGAGAGAGAGGCAGTTGGTAGCTGCAGAGGAAGGTAGGGAAGAATCAGGTTTGGAGCTAATTCTTGAGCATGAGAATTTTACTCTGCTGCTGCTGCCGCCCTGTGCAAACTAATTCCCGGACAGATCAGGCCATAAAGCATCAACACTAAAGGTGTTGAAGGTCCAGAAGGCACCTGATGCCCGCAGCCTCCCATACCCATTCACTTTTATTCACACAACAGTTAGTTGTGCAAGGCCTAGTCTAGGCTGGGCAGGGTACTAGTGTTGGCACCCTGCTGGAACAAGATGGACCAGCTCTCCTAGAGTTTACATTCTGCAGAGACAGGCAGATTGTTACAACAACAGCATAAAGTCAAAGAGAACAGGGTATTTTCAGATTGTACTAGGGCTGTACTGAGAAACTGGACACATGGTCCTGTATGGTACTGGCTTTGCCCGTCTCTGGGGACCTCGTCCCCTCCGCTAGAAACAGGGTAACTCCCACACGATTGGGTTGATAAACGACGTAAGTGAGGACACCACCTGCGGCTGTACGTGTTCATCCTAGTTTTTTCAGGGCCCCTCTCTCTTCACTCTCACCGAAATGAAAACAAAACTCCTGGCCTGACATTCCCAGGGACTACTCCATAGACTAGGGGATGCCCAACTGCGGGAAGGGGAAGGGGGTACAGAGTTGTCTTGAAATAAAAGCCCAGCCACATGTCCTAGAGGGAGGCTTAGACAGCGAGCGGGCCTGAGAGACCCTTACCCCACTAGCGGCTGACGCTGTGCCGGGCCAGGCGACGCGCAAGCCGGTGCTACTCGCTTAGGGGCCTCTGGGTGGGTTGGGAAGCTGTCCCCACTCTCCAATCCCACTCCGCGGGGACCAGATGACGCCCAGGCCTCCCTCCCCTCCTTTGCCACCCCGAAAGGCAGGCCAATGGCGGACACTTAATGACAGCTCCAAGGCGGGCAGGGTGGGAGGCTGTCCCTCCTTCCCGCCCTGGAACCCGGTTTTGGCAGAGAGGGAAGCCCAGAGTCTGAGCCCCCTTCCCTGACCCTGGCCGCACTAAGCCCCGCGCCCCCGGAGTTTGCGCTGGATGCGGAGGTGGATCCCTGACAGCTCGGGGACAGGAGATGGCCCGGTCCTCCCCCCTACGCCCGCCCCGCAATGACCCAGACGCCGCTTGGGCCTCCTCTCTGCTCCTCGCCCGCCCGGGAGCCTCAGGAGAACCCCGAGCCCTCGCCCTCCGGCCGCGGCAGCTGCGCCCTGGGGGCGGGGAGGGCGCGCGGAGGTGCCAGGGGCGGACGGGCGCTGGGGGACCCGGCCTGGCAGCGCCGCTTCAAGTTTCCACCGCCGCGCGGTTGTGCAACCGGGACGCGAGCAAGAGCCGGGGGCGCCTCGGAAAACAAGCCGAGCCCATAAACAAAGCCACGTGGCCTCGGGGCCGGGTTGGGGGGCGGGCTAAGAGCAGGCGGCTCTTCCGGCAACAAAGAGCCGCGGCCAGCGGCGGCGGATAAATACTGCAGCCGGGACAGTCGCGCGGCACTCCAGGGAGCCCGCCGCGCCGCACTCCAGGGAGCCCGCCGCGCCGTGCGACCCTCCCCAGCGCTAGCGACCCTGCCAGCGCCCAGTGCCCTGCTCCGTGCCCCCAGACCCGCAGCCCTCAGGCGCCAGTCCCTGCACCCGCCCCTGTCGCGGGCTCCAGCTCCTCGAGCATCCACTCCGGCTGGTGGGTCCCCCGAGGCCTCCAGGCCGGTCCCAGTCCTTCAGTCCGTCTGGTCGGTGGGTTGCGTCCGCTCGCAGTGCCATGCCATTCCTCGGGCAGGACTGGAGGTCCCCCGGGCAGAGCTGGGTGAAGACGGCCGACGGCTGGAAGCGCTTCCTGGATGAGAGGAGCGGCAGCTTCGTGAGCGACCTCAGCAGGTAGGGGGCCCGCCACCAACTTCCAGGCTCTCAAAACGACCTGGACTGCTCTAGGGGGGACGCCGGGCAGGTGAATGAAGGGCAAGCAGAACAGGAACCGGGTAAAGAGGGGGCCACACTGGAGGATGGGAGGGAGTTGCTTGGATTTCTGCAGAGGTCGCTAGAGCGCGGAGACGGGGGTTTGGTTTCTGTTATTGTTCAAGGTCAGCGTCTCCAGGTGGGCATGACTCCTTACAGAACACCCAGACCCTCTGAGAATCTCATGACAATCGCAGACCTTGTCCCCAGACGCTCAAACTTAGGCACAGAACTTCAGGGGTCCCCACCTTAGGGACACCGGAATGGCGCAGTTTGCGCCTGTGGCGGCGCGTGGGAGTGAGCTGAGCGCCCTTAGCCGCAGGGGTGGCGGACTCCCGGCGCCCAAGCGTGGTGGGTGCAAGGTGGTGACGGAGTTGGAGGCTGGTCCTGCTCAGAGGGCCCCCAGCCCCTTCCCACGCCAGGAAGGATGAGTAACCGGGAAGGGACAGCAGCGCTCGCGGAGCTGACTTGCCAGCGGCGGAGGGTGGGGGTGGCAGCGACGCGTTGGAGGGAAGGGAGGCGGGAGATGAAACCACGGGCTCTCTACTTCTGGGGAGACCCAGCCCTTGCACCTGTCTCCTCCGTGGCCCTTTCCGCCAGTCTTCTCTGTACAGTGAACGTGCTCCCGTTTCAAGGGGTGCCTGACTCTGTGGGAAGCCTGCCTGGCTTGGGGGAGCCTCTGGATTGGAGGTCTCACCTGTGCTCTGTCTGTCGGGTGTAAAATCCAAAGTCGGCCGAGCTCTGTGCTCGACTTGGCTCATCAGTTGGGTGATCTGGAATCTGTCATTCCCTGCCCAAGCAGTTGACGGCCAGAGGCTTGATGAGGCTGTGAAAGTGATCCTGAGGGTATTGGTGCAGCTGGGGACACCTGGGGTGCCTTTTCCTGCCGCCCTTGGTTAAAACCATTGGCCCCTGCACCCTTAAATTGACTTCAGTGGAGTGTTCTGTAACTGGGCCAGGTTCCCACTCACTGAGACTTACCAGTGGTTGTTTGGATAAAGCCTTGGCAATAAATTGCAAGAAAACTATCAAGAAAATGTGGTTATTTTGGCAGCTTTACCCCCAGAGCCGCCCATTTGTTTCTCATTTGTGATGCATCAAATTCCCTTTGTCTCCCAATGAAGAGAAAGAGATTATTTAATCCTGGGGTCTGCTAGAAGAGACGCAGCAGATTAACCTTTATGTTAGAGATGCTTGGAGGCAGTCCCAAGGGAGTTTTGGGAGCACTATAAAGAATTCTTATTTACAGAAAATCAGATAATTTATTCACAAAGAGATAAAAAGACCAACTGCTCTTGACAGACTGTATCTCTTAATGACTCAAGTTACCAATTATGCCTAAATTTTTCTCCCTCGACAAAATGGGAAGCTTCCATCCTTCCTCTGTGTTCCTAAGGAATGATGGCCTAATATTTTGAAACTTTATTTCTGTATAAAAGTTCAGAGTCTTTATTGGTAAGTACAGCAATGGTATAGCGGTGTCACAGTGGCTGACCCAAATATAATTGTAGGGTACACCTCAGTGGGGAGCAGACGACTAGGTTGAACATGAAAGGACTTGAAATGTAGAGTTATATTAATACTGGTGTCACTCTCCTTTAGAAATAAATAGGAGGCCAGGCATGTTCACTCATGCCTGTAATCCTAGCACTCTGGGAAGCCAAGGCCCATGGATCCCTTGAGCCCAGGAGTTCAAGAGCAACCTGAGCAACGTTTAGTAGAGACCCCATCTCTACTAAAAATAGAAAAACTAGCTGGGAGTAGTGGTGCACATGTAGTAGAGACCCCATCTCTATTAAAAATAGAAAAACTAGTTGGGAGTAGTGGTGCACATGTAGTAGAGACCCCATCTCTATTAAAAATAGAAAAACTAGCTGGGAGTAGTGGTGCACACCTGTAGTCCCAGCTACTCAGGAGTCTGAGGCAAGAAGATTGCTCAAGCCCAAGAGTTAGAGGTTGCTATGATGCCAGAGCACGCTACCCAGGGCAACAGAGTGAGATGCGGTCTCAAAAAAAAGGAAGGAAGGTAGGTCTCTCTCACCACAGTATGGAACACCTGAAAGTGGTTTTAACTTACCCCAGAGGTTTAGACTAGGCTGGGATCAAGTAGCTTCCTGCCCCTTTGTCCCCCTCATGAGCCTCTTTTCTTTCCTTTCATTTCACACCTGAGCTGACACTGTCACACTGATCATCACTACCACAAAGAGTACTTAATATAGTGACCACCTGTGGTCCTTTGAGCCAGAGTTTAGACATCCTTCAGTAGCCACCTAGCAGACCAGCTGGCTGTTTGCAGGATGTTCTCCCACCCCCAGTAATTGTAAACAATCCCTTCTCTACTTAGCATAAGAAGTCTGCCAACTTCTTAAAAGCAGTTGGCCCTCTGAGGTCTGGGTTGGTGATCTCAAATATCCCCACTGTTTTCAGTCTTTGTGACATTTTGCTGTGATGTCAGGTTTGGGCTGAGAGCCTGCCTACACAGGTGAAGCTGAATGCCTCACCTGTTATGAGAAAACAAAAGGCAGGCCCTTAAAGAGGGCAGGGAGGGATGGTAAGTTAAACAGAGGACTGCAGAGGCCTGATAGACTTACTTCTCTCATGCCACGTACCATTCTGTGAGCTGCCCAAACAGGAGAGAAGAATGAAAGGTACATCTGGAGGTTTTCAGTGAGGGGTTATTGTTTAATGTGGACCACGGCTTGTCTGTACACACACCTGTTCTAGACTCTGCTGCCCATTCCCTCTGTCCTTCACCAGCAGCATGTTACAAATCTCATCACAGCCACGTGCACAGGATTGAGATCATAGGAAGATTTAAGACAAACTTGACTCAGGGCCCCCTCTCAAAATGTAATTGCATAAAATAGAAGGGAAATGGCAAGTGTTAAATATGGTGGGGTAGATCAGAAATTCAAGGAAAGAGCTCAGCATGAATTGGGATGATTCACAATTACTTCAAGGAAATAGTAGTTGAGGCACCGGGCATAACAACCCCCTCCCCGTCCCACCCTCAGAATGAGTTACCTAAACTGTCTGAAACTTGGCCAGTCCCCCCCCTTAAGCCTACACTTCTATAGTCAAAAACTCCCTTGAATGTTGCTTTACTATATAGCTAAGGTTGGACCAGGAAGCAGGAAGTTTACCTTGGTGCCCTAGATAAAAATAATAGTTAAGATTTTATGAGTGCTTACTGCGTGCGAGGTACTATTCTCTGAGTTTTATACACTAGGTTGTTTGTTTCACCAGAGCATTCTGGGTACTAGACTTGGGAGTTTGGTGAGCTGGATATAAGAGGAAATTAACATAGAAATCTCATTGGCTGTAATCAAATCTCTATAAATACAATTAAGCCTCTTGGCAGGTCACTGCTTTCTTACATGGTTTTTATCCCAAATGAAATGAGAAATAAGACTCTTTTTTTTTTTCCTCATTCCCTCCTTTATTTGCTGCCAAAAATAGTCTTACTTATGATCTTATTTTGAAATCTTTCCACCTTTTCTAAAGCTGTCTTAAAGTATCGTGGTATGTGGTAGTGTGAGGCTAAGGGGGAGGAGGGGTCTCTTCTTATTCTAGGCCTGTTCTTATAAAAATCACAATTAGTAAGAAGTGACTGTAAAATAGGAACTTTATGACCATTATTGAATTTAGTGAAGAAAGCAGCTTCGGTAAGATGATTTTGCTTATTTAAAAAAATTAAAATGCTGCAATTCCTAAATGGTGGTGGTTTTTCTTATTAAAAATTTCAGTTGTAATTTTCCACTGGCTTTGTATTTCCTTGAAATGGATACAATTGAACTCTCAAAATAGCTTCTAACTGAATATATTATTGCTTAAAAGAACACATATAAATAGGCAACACAAATAAACCCCACAGACCTTTCCAGGCCCTACCTCCAATCTAAAACATAATACCAACTAAAAAGTTTAGGGTTTCTCTTTGGTTAAAACTTTTCTGCATTCTACAGTGAGAAAGCATCTTCAATTATGTAAAATTCTCCTTACACTAGCTTTTGAAATGAGTCACTTGGGCTTAAAGCAGGTTATTGTAGCTTCTGTGAGGGAAGAAAGTGCTCAGATTCCTTTGAAGAATGTTTCCAATTAGGAAAAAAAAAGATGAAATACAAATATTTAAAATTTCTAAGTGATGATCATCGCCTATGACCTAGGCTCTGAAATTTTTCTGCTGAACTTTAAATGTGCAATTGAGACTAAGACAGCTTCATGTTATGGTTCTGTATATGTGGAATTTATACTGTTGTTTGGGTGGGGTGGGGGGTGTTTAAAAATAAGCCTTCATATGGTTTTTGCACACAAAATGTTCCAGCTTTGCTTTCTGAAGCTGTTTTTAGCTTTGGTACATCATGGACCACTCAAGTGACCTCCCATTGCTTTTTCTTTTTCTCAACTTTGATTGAGATTCCTTAAGTTAGCCTTGGGGACTCAGAGTTCTGTCCTGCCTTTGTCCACCCCCCTCTTCCCACTGACTTTGGAGCAGATAATCAACTGATCGGTGATTTTGTATCCCTATAGTCATGCAAGTAGACAAATATACACTCATGTGTTACACAAGGCCTGGCCCCAAGCATTCGCCCTTGGCTTGCTTATGAAAGTGCCTCTGAAAGAGGACATATCTGCAGTACTCTATCTGAAACTGAAGATATCTTGTTTCCCAGAATGAAAAGGAGAAGGCTATTGGGTTCACTGGGAAACTTAATAAATGGTATTAAGCATGGCCTTAATAAAGAAGATTAACAAATGATTGATTATTCATCAAGTTTATCCTAATGGGTCCAGAAAAGCAACACTGAGTATATTGTTGGTGATGTCACATGTAAGCATTTTAACAAGATGCTTATTACACTAATTGAAGTACCGCTTGAGAGACAATTGTAACAAAAAAAGATACTAGCAATTGTTTCAACCCTTCTTTTCTCTTCTGCAGTTCAAACAATGCCAAGGGAATGTAGAAGTACAAGTGTGCGTCATTTTACCCGACAGATGTATGTCCCAAAAAGATACACATTAAATCCAATGTTAAGTTCAGCAGAGGAACTCAGAGCATAAGATATTGGTGATACGGCAAAAACCCTCTAATGTATGTTTTACCAGTTGGCATTATAAATTCTACCTTATATACCTCATGGGGGTGGATGGAGTTGGGGAACCTGTGTTCTCATTATATTTCCATATTTCTCCTGCATCCCTTCTATGGAAACTATTCAGATTTACTCTGAAGTTACACTGTATAGTAGAACGGTTCATCAGTCCCTCAAATAGTTAGCCTACTCAGGAAAATATGTGCCCAAGTTAAACGTGCCTATCCTTTCAAGACCTGTGAATTAAACAGGCACATTCAGACCTTATAAATGGATGTACAGGCCCTGTGAATTTATGAATTAAGAATTTAACTTGGGGTGGCATCTGCAGCTCAGTGAGTAGGGCACCGACCCCATATACCGAGGGTGGTGGGTTCAAACCCAGCCCCAGCCAAATTGCAACAACAAAAAAATAGCTGGGTATTGTAGCAGGTGCCTGTAGTCCCAGCTACTCAGGAGGCTGAGGCAAGAGAATCGCCTAAGCCCAAGGAGTTGGAGGTTGCTGTGAGCTGTAACTTCACAGCACTCTACCGAGGGTTAAGAAATGAAATTCTGTCTCAAAAAAAAAAAAAAAAAAAAGAATTTAACTTGTTTCAGTTAGGACCCAAGGTCATAGAATACTGCCTAGTATCAATTAAGGAATTACAGAAAACCTAAGCAACTGGTGCCATATGCTAAGCATCTCCTAGAAATGGAGTTTGTAGGTCAGATCTTTGTCGACGTGATCGTATTTTAAAGGGATAATAGGAGGCTAGTTAAAAGCAGCTTGGCCAATTATAGCCCAAGAAGAAGGGGAGAGGGAGGGGAGGGGAGGAGGGAGGAAAGATGGGGGGAGGGTAATTGGTGGGACCCATGGTGCATCTTACAAGGGTACATGTGAAATTTACTAGGTGTAGAATATAAATGTCTAAACACAGTAACTAAGAAAATGCCGTGAAGGCTATGTTGATCAGTTTGATGAAAATATTTCAAATTGTATATAAAACCAGCACATTGTACCCCATGATTGCATTAATGTACACAGCCATGATTTAATAAAAATAAATAAATAAATACAGCAACTTGAGTACACTTTAAATGGGTGAATTGTATGTCATATGAAGTGTATCTCCAGAAAGCTGGTTTTTAAAAGGGAAAAAGCAGCAGCTTGGGATAGATGCTTTTGCAAAATGAAGGGATTGTGTAATCACCCCTCCCCTAAGTCATGAATTCTGCTTAAAGTAATATTGTAGTACCCCACATTGCTCTTAAAGAGTACAGGGCTGTGTTATCAAATTACAATGGCAGGCACTGTTAGGGAAGTCAAAAGAAGCAGAAGCCTCCATCCCTGCCTTCCACACAGATGTGACAATATTTCATCCTCAGAGAAAGAAGTCTGTGCCTGCATAAGCTTTTTTTTTTTTTTTTTAGTGGTTATTTTATTGTTTTATATTGTTTGAGAAGCATGGATGTTTTCGTGTTTGTTTTCTCACCAGTAAGTTATTTTTGGAAACAGCTGACAATTAAAGTATAGCTGTTACATCTCATCCTCTCTTCTGTTGTTCGTAGTTACTGCAACAAGGAGGTGTACAATAAGGAGAATCTTTTCAACAGCCTGAACTATGATGTTGCAGCCAAGAAGAGAAAGAAGGACATAATGAATAGCAAAACCAAAACTCAATGTAAGAAGTTTGTTTTGAATCTAAGAAGAAAAATGTTTGAAGACAGTTATGATTGGTTCTCGGGCAGCGCGGGGGTGGGAGGGTGGTCAAACCTCCCATGTTGGACATCTGCCTTGACATTTTACTGTGTCAGTAACAGAGGTCACCAGGATCTTTGCACTCAGAAACCTGGCTGTGCATTTTACAAGTGAGATTAACGTGTTCTTTAGAGTCTTGTTTATAAGCTCTTTCTTAACTGAGGTCTTTATTTCCTGCTTGTCACTTGTAGTTGATGTAGGTAATATAGTTACTACCCAGCGATGTGGCCGGCTGAGTGAACTCCAGTGTTTGCTTATCGTTTGTACCCTGTTTGAGGCTTTAGAATAGATATTTTTTCTGTCTTTCCTTTTGTAAATGCTATTAACATTTCTAGCTGCCATATGTATTTGCAGAGAATACAAAGTTCTGTTAACAAGCATGAATTACAGATGATTTTAATTTCATTTGCACTATTTGCTTTCCTCATTTTATCTGTTCTATTTCTACTTTTTATGGCCTTATATAAGTTGTAGGTTTGGCATTTAAAATAAACTTGTACTTGGTTATTGGATTTTTTTTAATTTTGGAGTTTTAATGTGTGAAATCTTACTATGAAAGATGTGGAGAGCTTCAGACAAAGCAGGTGATAACTCCAGTATTTATATACGGCAGAAAGAAAGCATTTGTATCCTCTTAAATTGTCGGTAGAGTCTTTGGGCTTTTTGTCAAAACTTTTTCAACTTTGGGATAAACGAAATGTTTAAAATCTTGGACATGTTATAAAACTTTAAAACTGGATTTTTTTCATTCTGTAGATTTCCACCAAGAAAAATGGATCTATGTTCACAAAGGAAGCACTAAAGAGGTGAGGACCCATCCATTTATTAGTTACACTGTGCCTTTTGCCTCCCCAATAGGGGTGGGAGATATTGGGCAATGGTATCCCTTCAAGTCATGAGTGTCTTTTCAGGTGTGGGTGGTGGTGGCTAGCACCCCACTGCCTCGCCACCATCAGAATTTGAGGCTACAGGGATAGAACAAAACAAGTTACTAGGTGGGCTCCCTAGATTGTGTATGTAAAAGTGCTTTATAAAGATTAACATGCCCATCTCAACTGTATTATTACAAAGTCCTGGATTTTGCCTCAGGATGGCATTTCCCTTTTGTTCTAAGATCTGTTCAGACTTCAACTTGGTTAGGTTTTGGCCCTGGGAGGGCTAAACACCAAATGTGGCAGAAGTTTTCAGTGCCTGCCTGCTCGACGTGAGATAGGAAAAGACAAGATATTATGATAACTACATTCAGACGGCCCTTTTGTGCACACTTCTCCCTGTATAGGCATTTGCTCAGAGGCCCAGGATTTAGACAGTTTCCTGATAGAATGATAGAATTTCCATCACGGTCATGGCCCTTGGTGAACATCTATTTCCCTCTGAGATGTAAGGCCCAGTAATGTACCCAAGACTCCCCAGACACTCACAACAAAGCAGCGACTCTGGGCCAGGACTTTCTGTTCCCAACTCCATGTATGTTTATAGATTAAAGATCAAAACTTCTTTTGCTTCCTCATGAGGCCTAAAAAACACCTTTATCCATCACACTGAGTAAAGCACTAACAATGCAAGGCCAGGTGGGGACACTGTTGACGTAGGTAGATCTGATTCTCCTCCCAGGAGTATATAATAGTCACCGACTATTATCACCTTCTACACTGTGTATGTGGTACCAAGCTTGCTCCCAGTCTTTCCTGGATAAGCAACTAATGATTTTCCCAGACTGGTGTATACAGAGAGCAAGGGTCAAAATGGTACAAGTCACAAAAAAGGGTATTTAACATGATGACCTTCAGGCTGTGTTACCCATCTTGGTGGCTCACAGAATTCATGGTGCAGGAAATAAGCCAGTGGCCCCAGGTTACCTGAGATGGACGTCAAGCTTGTTGATGGAGTCCAGTTGGCTTGGTGTCATTGGACTATTCTAACTGGATTCTAACTTTGGATGACTTCTGCGTGCCAGGAGTAACTTCTGTACCTCTATTTTCACATTCAGCGTCACGGATATTGCACACTGGGGGAAGCTTTCAACAGACTGGACTTTTCTACTGCCATTCTGGATTCCAGAAGATTTAACTACGTGGTACGGGTAAGTCTCAAGTACCCAAAGGCTTTCCCAGACTCTCTCAGGTTGAATCCACACACACACACACACACAAATAATGTTTTAGGAACCTGAGAATTTGGGGTCAAGCAGAAAACAGACTCCTCAGCCTCCTTCTCCCCTGATGGTCTTCAGATTCTTAGGTGGGTCCTGTTAGAATGTGCCTGAGATTGGCCAAGACAGACAGAGGCTCCCGTGATACCGCAAGAGTTAGTGAGTCAGTCCCCTCAAGTGAAATTTCACCCCAAGCCCTGTCAGAGCCCACACCGTGGATAATGGGAACATGTTACGGGCACGCAGGCTCCACTAGCAACATTAGCAGGAGAGAATTCAGCGGGAAGCCAATCCTAATGCACATGGTGTTTTGTAAAAACCTTCACACCTCTAATGGTCCCCACTGTCCTCCCTCCTGTCCTGCTTTGGCTAACTCTGGGTGACTCCAGGACATTCTTGGTTTAGGCCACAAATCTCGAGGAGTTCAAAGCACCTCAGCATTTCTTTCCCAGGATTTTTTTTCATTCCCATATCTACCTAAAACCAAACACTGCTTGTTTAGGTCTCTTATTTTCCATCTTAACCCTTATTTGGAAAAAAAAATTATAAACTTTAGCAAAATATGAATGATGAAGGTAGTGAGGCAAGTAAGTTTAACAATGACTTCCAAGTTCATGATTCTTTTTCATTAGCTGATTGCTCCTCCCCCTCCACCAAGCTCCCGTGGTTCAGCCTGGGAGGCAGCAGCTGTTTGGATTTGGGCCTCTGCAGGGGGAGGGAGTTTCCCCCTGTGGGTGTTGGTTTGGTTTTTGTTTTCTTTTCCCTGGGTTGCCGTGTTTCTCAGCGCCCCGTGTCACTGAGTCAGATGATTGCAAAGGCTCAGCCAGAATGATGACATTTAAGCCCCCTTGAGGCTTGGATCATTCACCTGTCATCTGGGCAGATGCAGGCTTGGCCGTCCAGACTGACCTGATGAAAACCCAGGCCTGCAAGAGACAGGTTAGAAGCCATGGGCTGAGCCTGTGAGGAAGGATGTGAGCAGATATCTGTACCCTTCGGCTAAGCCCTTACCCCAGTCCAAAAAGGCTGAACCTAAGAGATCTTGGGTGAAATGCTCGTGTCATTCAGGGTGGCTCTGCCTGTTCAGGGAGGTCGCCTGGACCTGCTAGTCCCGCAAGCTAGCTTAGACAGGTTGGAAGTGGGCCCAGGAAGATATGGAAACTTCTGTTGCTAAGAATATGAATAGTTTCCATATTCTGGGTGTTGGAGAAAGACACCTCAGTCAAGACGTCTTGTTACAAACTGGTCATGAACATGGCAAGTTGTAGGTGGTTTTCCTTCCTCGCTACCGTCCTTTTCACAAGAAATAAAGCAAAGGAACAAGGCTCACAAGCGAACATCTATTCCATGCAATTATGTGTATTTTCACCTTTTAATAATCCTATAAAGTGTGGATGCTTTTCTCTCTAGCTAAACAAATGGCAGCACAACAAGGTAAAATGACTTGTGTAAAGTCACAAAGTAACAAAATTAGGATTTGAAACTTGGGCAATAGAGTTTACACTCTAAATTGCTACAGTAAAGTCTATATGAACCAAGGATTTGACCTCCCCCCTCCGATTCCAAGTGGTTTCAGCCTTTCAAAGACTTGGTTTCCCACTCTGTAAGAAGGACTGGCCTCAACTTGGCAGGATAGCTGTGGAAACTCCATGCTTTTTATAAATGGCAGTATTCTGCAGCCTAAAATCAACTGTGCAAAGTCAGATACTGATGCGTTATTATTACTCCTTACCAAAATTATTATTGATTCCCCCTAAAATGCTTCTTCAATTTAGCTGATAAAAGGGGTTTTTCTACTTAAAAACAGTAATTAGCTGGTGAATCTGGCACTTGGCTAAGATTCAGCACAGAGAACTTGTATCTAGTAGTAACTAACTGTGAAAAAGATCATGAGCACTTTCCCTTCCATAATCTCAAAATCAGAGAAAGTGCTGGATCCTTCCAAAGTCATTCAGTTCAGAAATAGTGGAAAAATCTTTCTATTTTGGAAAGAACAATCTTTTTTTCCCCTTCACTGTTAAGAGTCCTCTGTAATTTGAGAAATAACATGTTATTTTTATAAAGACCTTAAAACATTTTAATGGTAGGCAGTGTGTTTTGAGGTTTTCCTTCCTAGGAACTCAGTATACTTCTCATATATTCTTCTTATCCTTAAACCAACTCTGCAAAGTAGCTTGCCAGTGTAGTATCCCATCTTATTACTCTGACCTAATGGTGTTTTAATGCCACAATGATTGCTGGTTTCACTAAGGAGCTAAACCAATTTTAAGGGCCATTTGGGGAAAAGAAAAAGTCTGAAGCCTTTAGAGCCAAAGTACATTTTCAGAAAATTTGTTATGTTCATACTGGATGTCATGTTCCAAAAGAGAGACGTGCAGAGGTCATAAAAGACACAGCCAACACTATCTCGACATGGGATCGTTTTTATCACTCAGCATGAAAATGTCATAGAATTTTTGGCATCAGAAAATTTTTGAGTATAAATTATAAAGGTTTTTACATAACATTTGTATGTCATTTTAACCGGCCTCGAGCTACAATGCCTTGTTCCTGCTTCTTCCCCTGCTCCTGCCCAAGGACCTAACTACCATCCTAGCTGTGCATTTTAACGATGAATTAAAATCTTTAGAAGCCGTAATTTACCGTTAGGTGGAAGTTTTTTTAAAAAATAGTTCACCCTATACTTCAAGACCAGTACATTTTGGAAATTCCCTGAGGGAGCTGGGGAGGATTCCTGGGGCTGAGCCAGTCATGGGGTTGGAAGCTGGTAACCATGAGGAGGTGGGCTGACCAACCAGGGCACAGAGGGGCCAGAGGGTAAAGTAGGTCTCTTCAGAGACCGCCACCCACTCACAGCTCTAACATGAGCCTATGAATCGGCTACGGCCCAGTGGTTCTCAGCCTTAGCTGCACGGTAGAATCACCACAAAGCTTGTTAAGCTACAAAAGCCCCACCTAGGGCAGTGCCTGTGGCTCAGTGAGTAGGACACCGGCCCCATATACACGAGGTGGTAGGTTCAAACCCAGCCCTGGCAAAAAAAAAAAAAAAAAAAAAGCCCCCCTCTAGAGTTTCTGATTTAATTAGGTGAAGATGGTGCCCAGGCATTGCTACTTTTAAAATATCTGCCTGGTGATCTCAGTGAGTTTTCAAGTTTGCAAACCAGTCAGAAACTACTTTGCAGCCCAAATGTTATATTTTGCATAATGATTTTTTTTTTTTTTTTTTGGCCAGGGCTGGGTTCAAACCCACCACCTCCAGTATATGGGGCCGGCGCCCTACTCCTTGAGCCACAGGGGCCACCCGCATAATGAATTTTTAAACAAGGCACACTGAGGAATTAAATTCTAGATCCGATTTCTGGGATGTGTACTGTGTGGTCCATCAGGAATTCAGTGACAGAAAGAAGATAGCCCTCCCACATTCCAGCTCAAAGTTTAAACCTTATTTTCTGTGGTACCTTCTGCAAATTAATCACTTTGCCTCCCTAAATGATAAGACTAGGATAATCATACCAGTATCGAGGCATTTTTATGAGAGTGAAAAAATATAACAGAAAAATAAAGACAATGGGTACGAAAATGTTTGTATACATTTCAAGATGCAGTGTAACTTCTTTTTCAGGGAGGAAATAGGATTTAAGCCTATGTAACCATTTCTTCTGGGTGATTAAGACCTGAAGTCTCCATTTGTAGGTCAGATACAGTTAGGACAAGACTTGCCTACTTGCAATAGGAGTTCTGATGCGCTTAGAATGATTGTACATTTTACAATCTTTATATTCTCCCCCATCAAGGCTTAATGGTAGAAAAAAAAACAATATTTACCTAAACAACTACCTCTGTTCCCTAGTGATTCACTTAAGAAAACTGATATATTGGGATTAAATGGAACTAAGATTCAAAACTAAGGGGTACCAATAAAAAGTATGGCTTAAACGGGGCATAGAACCAACAGTTATTACATCTCTGTTATTGCTGAATACAGTGTAATATAGAGCTGGAACTTGAATTTGGACTTGTGCTACTCCAAAACCTATATTATTTTCATGAGCCCCCCTCACTAGCCAGTGAAGGAAACAGGTGAAACAGGTATGACTGGTCTACAGCAGGGGTCAGCACACTACCTGCCCTCAGCCTACTGCCTTTTTTTGCATGGACCATAAGCTAAGCATGACTGGGTACATGTTCCAGCATCATATTTCATGACACATGAAAATTATGTGCAACTCAGATTTCAGTGTCCATAAATAAAGTGTCATTGGAACACAGCTACTCTCATTCATTGGATATTGTCTATGGCTGTTCTTGTGCTAAACAGCAGAGTTGGGTTCAGAGTTGAGCAGCAGAGACATTGTGGCCTGCAAGCCTAAAATATTTCCTATGTAGCTCTGTACCAAAGAATATTGCTGCCATACAGCCAAATTGGTGATTTGAGAAGTTTGCTTTAAAAGAAATTACCTGTTCTGACACCATGATACAAAATTTGAAAAGTACCAAGATGTAGGTGGTAGAGCCAGGTGAGCTATGATATTTCAGAAGGTGGGATCACTGTGGGCAGAATATTCAAGAAAGACTTCAAGGAGAAAGTAGGGCTTGAACTGGTCTTGAGTTAAAGTAGAATTCAGGGGGACGGGGTCAAGGCAGGCAGCTGTGAGTCTGTTGAGAGATCAGTGAGCAGAACACTGACAAAGGCAGCAGAGCAAGCTGTAGCATATAGAATCAGCTAAGGGTGTTGCCATAAGCTAGTTATAATGACCTTGGACGACCTTGGATGAGTCTCACTCGCCTATCTATAAAGTGGAAGTGATTACAGCACCCTGCTCAGTGCTGTGACGAGCACTAAATGAGATAAGCGGTGTCCGGTGCATTAATCACGTGTGGTAAGAAGTCCATAAACGGTGATGATTGCTCATTTAGATACATAGTATGGC